TTCAATTCCAAGGAAATTTCCTCTTGCCATGGAAAAATTGTGAGTACGATTAAAAAGTTATGAACACCAAGAAAAGATTAATCTCTTGGACTACTTCCCCACTAAAAGCTCTGTTCTCAGAGGAATCCCTCTCATGCTATCGTAAAACTACCTCCCTCTTTAAGGCCTTATTCCCAAAGGAATCCCTCTCATGTTATTGTAGGCCTCAAGTTAATCAGGGTAACCCCTGGATAATATATGATTTACGATGACCAACACTCGATTCATGGCAATTCTTGATGCACACAATGTTTCACACAGGCTTGGCTATGCTCTCTGAGAGCTACAAGAACGGGTGTGGTCTTGTATTCTTCAGAGAACTGGCTCAACATGTGGCTTACATGTGGGATTTAGTCACTTGATTTGATCCTCTATAAGAACTAGTAATACGTTTGTCTTATCAAACGATGCAAATTTAACCCTCAGCGTCTAGGATAATTACACCATGGAGAAGAAGGGATTTTCTTGCTTGGCTTAACCAAAGAGTGCAAAAGGTTGTTAAACCTCGCTAATAAAGAATCTAAAATGTAGTTAAGTTCTAACTCTCAATTTGAACGCACACAAACCTGAAAACGTTATACACTACGTCACTAAGATAAATGTGAAAAACATCAACTTTTTTAGTCCAGTTTAGTTTGTCTGCCGACACTACTTTTCTAGATTAAATTAGTTAAATAATTGATCAGCAATTGATAAAACTATCTTGAAGCCTGGGATACATAACATTTTTTTGTATGAAGACTGTAGACAAGGAATGAATTCGTGGATCAGCTAGCGCTAAATTTGAAATATACAACAATTATTAAACAAGAGATATGTGATAGAAATCGACGTTTCGGTGCCAGTCGCTAGACATTTTAATTTACCTAATCATTCTAAGCAACATATGGCAATCTGCGGTCTTTCCTTGCACTTAGGTGGCACGGAAAGTCGTAAAAATCTTGAACAAAAGCTCATCTTTCAAACCGGCAGTCTAAATCCCACAGGGATCAACGAACGCTTTTCATTCCACTCATTTATTCATGTTTTTCACGTTGCCATGCTCTCACCAATAACGTAGCTCCATTCCTGCCTTTAAAAGCACACACAACCCACAATTCCTCTATTCGCTACGGTGGCCATTTTTTCCATTTCAACTTTGTTGATATATCCAAATTATTTTGTTACCCTCACCGACGCAGCCCCAAACAGTTTCTTTCGAAACTATCAGCCTAAATGGGAATGTTAGTCTGACAGATTCTTAAATTGATTTAGGCTCTTGCATGTAGGTTCTCACCACATTTAGAACTTCTAAGTGAAAACTACCCCAAAGGTGAAACTTTGTGTCGTCTTACTTAACAGGTATGCTTTGAGATAATCGATCCGTTAACCATCGACAAAGTTGTAACCAATAAGGCAACATACTACACTAAAATCGATGCTCTGCCCGAATGGACTAAGCCCGAGTTAAGTGAGACTGTTCCAGCGTTTACCATCTGGATTGATGAATTACAAGCTCTCAGAAAATACGAGTTCCAGTGCGCAAAATCTGATGAGTATGTACCACTGACCGGATACGTAATGACGGATGTCAGGTAGGCTAAGAGAATGTTTTCGGGCAAGATCACTTTCCATATTTTTTCCTTAGTAATTTTTTTGCGCATGATAAATGGGCCTTATTTTAAAATGAGTTTTTCGCCTTCGTAAGAAACTAAAGGAAAGATGATGGTTGTTTAATTTTGCGAGCCGGATCAACCAGCGACAGACTGAACGAAGGTCTAACAAATAACTAATTGGTCTAACAAGCCTTTTAAAGAGTAAATCCAGCAACAGAAATCATTCAACTCTCGACTGAAAAATCGGAAAAAAAAAAAGAAAGACTAAATGAAGCTCGAAAGGTAAAAAGTAAACGAGGCAGGTTTTGACGGACCAAACTGCTAACAAAAACTGAAACATCCGCACAAATTAAGGAAAAAGTGACGTACTTATCAACTGAACTAACGTACTAAGGTGGGTGGCTCAATCAGCGAATAATTCAATTACTATTGACTTTTAAAGAATAATGAACATAGTACGCATCGTCTAATTGGTCAATTTAGTTTCCAAGTGGATGCTTTATCTGGTTATGTCATAAAAGCAATAGAACGCATTTCTTCGGGCCTGATAACGTGATAAAGCCCCTTGGGATGTTGAAAGAACACTTGGAAAGCTCATAAGTTCGGCTCGTGATTTATACGCTTTCCTCGTGTTCTCCCAACATTCAGCTTGCCTTGTTTCGTTAGAGAGCATGGAAAAATGTGTTTTATTGCTAAATAAACACACATGCAAAACAGACGAGACAGTTTTGTTTATATAAAATTCCACCCATTACTGCAATATGATACCAAAGACAGTAAAAACGCGCATGTGGTAGCAGGTAAAACTATAATTTCCCTCCGACATTTCGAGATTCCATCGATGGCTGTATTTTGGTAAACTTCTTTTAATGATAGTGCAGAATGCATTTATTTGCATTCTTTTCCCTCCTTTTTACGCGCTAGTCCGTGCAAAGTGAATAAACAGTTTTACTTTGTTACTGAGTCTTCACTAGTTGCTCTATTACTCCAGGTTCTCCTACTATACCGAAGGAAACTCGCAGACCTTTAAAGCTAAGGGAGATTACACAATTAGCACAGGGACTGTGTTCAAGACAGAAGTGAAAAAAGACGTCATTAGTGGTGGGGTGTACGCCACAGGAGACACTGACTCTGTTAAGTTCCCGGATATAATGGCATCCTTCGGACTGGACCCTAGTTCCTTACCAGATTTCTTCGTCAATGCTTTAAAGTAAGATAATGCATTTATTAACTTTGTGCTCTCCATGCGCATTGGCTTTAGTTGGATCTGGAATAACATTTCTAGGGAAAATTCGACGAAAATCATGAGTCAAGCCCGTCCTTCAAGCGATAAACCATTTGGAAGTCCGAGGAACATCATTCGGAAGTAACGATATGTCATTTTATGACTGCAGCTTCGTGTCAAAGGGAATGGTAGAATGTCATCAATTTAGCAAACGGCTCAGTTTCCCTTAATTTGGATTTATGGAGTTTGCCCACAAATTTGCCTCCAAAAGCTTTCACTGTAGTCCTTTTAGGATATTACAGTCGATTTTAGATAACTATTCCAGGATATAGAGGCATAGTTTCAAATGAAAATGTTTGATTTTCTAAGGGAATTAGAAGGGGGCAGGGGAAGGTGGGAAAGATGTTTTTGGTGCAACTAACGCGGACTCTACCGTCCCGGAGAGACCTGGGACGAGTTCGAGATTTCAGGACGGGTTCAACTATGACTGAGCAGGAATTTTGAGGGCGTTCTTGTTGTCAACGAGATACGAAGGAGGTATTTTCCTTAGTAACCTTCATAGTTTTCTTTGTGACGAACGTGACAGGAAGCCGATATCCCGTTTTGGTCACTGCGAAATTTTTGCTAGATAGCTCGTCTTGCAATACTAGCGGTTGGTATATTTTTCTCACTAAATTAACGCAGGTTTACATCCACCTATTGCTTCACTATTAGAAAATTTTGAATTTGTATCTCATGCTTGTCGTCAGCAGAATCTAAACATCTCTAATAAATCATTTTTATATGATGAATTTTTTCATCTAATAAACAGCTTCTGAATTTTTCTTTCAGAGGAGTCGGTATTTGGGATTTCACTATGGCCCCCGCCCAGGTCGTTAGGAAGCTTGTAAAGAATGGTGTGTTTAGATTCACTGCCTCCATTGATGCAGGCGGTGTTCCTATTCACGTTGAGATTTTAACGGGAGTCAGATTTGGACGAAAAACGTTCGCAGTCGGGTTTTCTTTTGACCGCGAGTCGTATGGAAAACTAGCCGAGAAACTGTCTGGAATTGGAGTGGACTTCCTAGACAAACTTGGACTAGAGTTTGAGGTTAAGCAAAACTGACTCTCTTATTATTTATTAAGTACAGAGATATCCTTAAAATTAAACGCAACCATTGTGATCATTAGTCTTGATCCCAGGCTCTACAGACTGTCTCTCTTTCACTTTTTGTGCTTGTCACGAAAGTTAGGGATCGACCAAATCGTTTTTTCTCAGGCAACTCCACTTTTAAGCTCAGAATTTTTGTGGTTTAACGCTCAATGAAAACTAGATGTGGGCTGTCAGTGGTAAGTTAAAGCTAGCTGTGGAAACAATTCTGAATAATAGCGCCAATGGAGAATTCAGGAAACATATTTTCGATCAATTTTTTTTTTATCCTAGATTGGATTATCCTTTCACCCTCCGGCGTCCTTAGGGTTTCAGCAGCTCTTTGTAGATTCGGAGACCAAGTTTTCCAAAGAGCCTCTGCATAGTTTTATATTCACTAGTGTACCACAAGGTGAGTATGAGCTCTCGGAAACCCTCCAGCTGACTAACTTGAGGCAGCCTAGCAGTGTGTGAAGACGATTGAAAATGGGTCAAACTTCTTCTTTATCTGCCTCTCTCAATTTTTCCTTTACCGTACAGGATTCTTTAAACATTTTAACAATAGATAGACTTCATGATCGAAAGGATATCGCACAAGGGAAAGGTCTCAGAAGAAGGCCTTTGAAAAACGGGCTACTTAGTCATGCCCTAAAGAAAATTGAGTGTGTCTGCAAAGTTAATGCTCATGATAAATTGAGCATGTAAAGATGAAACAATTTTTTAGTGTAATAGAAAAAATCCGAGCCCCAGATGGGACTTGAACCATGGGACTTGACCCTCCGTGATCTAGTCATAAATTGAGTGATAAATTGAGTGAAGGAAATGATATATTTAGGACTACATTATAGTTCTCAACTTTAAAGCTTTTTTAGTCCACAGTATTCCTTGATGCTTCTCTGGGTTAATATTGTGGATTTTTCTTAAAAGGTGCGACTCTCTGTGAGCACACAGCTTTGTAATTGCCAACCAAGACATGAAATCACTAGTGTACTTATACGATACCAACTTTCAACTCTTCACTCTTGTAGGCATCTTCGCAGCAGCTCAAGTTGTCTTACCAAAAGATTGTCAAGGCAACAAATTTTGTGAAATAATGAAAATGATTGTAGGGCCGACAATAAAGTGGTATATCACTGGCCAGTTTGAATGGAAGAAGATCCGAGTCGCTACAGGTTTCGCTAATGTTCGAATCTACGATGGATTGTAATTTCACAAGTTGGAGCTATACGTCGAGGTAACTGCGCAAAATACGACAATTTGTTCCTAGAAACTCACTTTTTTGTTCAGTACGTCGTTCGCTAAAACATTAACAAACTGACAGTGGTCTAGCGTGTTGTGTACTCTTATCAACTGCGATATTGTTTATCGCAGTTGTCAAAATGCTGTGGACTCACGAGGCGCAGCAATATCGACTGTAAAATCGGTGTCAAATAAAACGATTCTTCCAGCGCGTGACTAAGATCGTGACACGTTGACGCAAGCAGCGTTGTGTGTACTTATCGATAACGGCAAATTGGCCAATCGGACTATGACATTACTGCCTACTGTTATGTAAAATCTTCTTCAGGTCACCCTATCTTACAATTGTTCTTTTTAGGCAGGGTGTGCCTTGCTTGCGTGAGGATTGAGTTGAATTTTATCATAATTAACTGTGTATAAGTGAGTACACGCCATAAGTACGTGAGAGGTTGGATAGATGATATATTTTTTCACATATTTTTCAACTTTCAAACCAGGCCGATTGGAACGATTCAGCTAAACACGTCAAAATTGGGTTCCGTGCAGATATCAAAGTACCAGTGAACGGCGACATCTATCGTGACGGAATCAGAGCGCCTAACAGCGAACTGTTTCTGTTCGGTGTGTTGGAATATGATTTCCAGGAACAGGTGGTGGGCGGAAAATTTGGCATGCGTGGAATTTGGCGCAGGGCATTCTTTATACCGTTCGTTGGCATTGGAAATATTTTTCTTGGGTGAGAAAAAATAACACAATGTAGATCTAAGCACACACTTCGATTGATAAAAAACTAAAAAATCACAACATCCCGCTCAAATGATAACCTCATAGCGAGTCGACGAGAACTCAAAGTGAAGGTATTGACAGAAAAGAAAAGCACAGAAATCATGAGTAACTAAGTAATAATTTCTTTTGATTTGTCATTTGTTTTGTTGTTATTTCGTGTTTCGTTGATACTGAAGCTGAGGTAGTTATCTATACAGAGATACAATCACAGCTAATACATCTCTTTAGGTGTGCACCTGTTTCCAAAAAAATCGCATATTATTCCACTAAATATTCCAAATTTCGCACGATATCGCATATCTTTCCATCAATACGAGTGGATCAACCATATTTTCTGACTGACTAGAAATCCTCCTTGATCACAGGTTGACGTATAAGGTTGGAGCACCAATTCCTATCACTGGTGTGCAGTTTGGAATGCGAATCGAGTTTGGATATGATTGCCTAATACCAGCAGACTTCAATAATGACGTGAGTTACAATCCTACGAAGTACAAAATCAAATGCAAATGATAAATTACGTAAATGATCAATTGAAAACAAAACGTTATGCTCCAGTTGTTTATAAGATAGAAACTATGGATATCCACAAGTATTTTCAATAAAGCTTAAAGCGTAGTTTGGTTTTTAAAAACATATATTTAGTGGATGGCGATTTTTCGGCGGATAGCCTCATCGGGGTATTGTGAATCGAATTGATGTGGCTATTAAATAATAATAATAATAATAATAATAATAATATACGTTAATTGAGGCTCCCCCATGGAGGCTTTTCAGCCACAATGTAGTTTTAACTAAGTGCTTAAAAATTTCCACTGGCAGGAGGCGACCAGTGAGCTATTTTCAGAGCGCAGCCGAGGAGTTGAACTCGGGGCAACCGAGAACAAACCCAGTGGGTGGCAGGGTGGAGGACTTGAACCCGGGCCACCGGATTTCAAGTCCAGCACCCTAACCACTCGACCACGCCGCCTCCACTTAAATAGAATGCAAGACACGTAAATAATACTCGCGAAAAGAAACACCCATGAAACTTTTCAACACGTTTTTGTGCTGAATCCACTCTGTTTTTTAATTTTGAACCGAAAAAAACATTTAAAAACTGATCCAAAACTAGACCGATTATTTCTCCTTTTTCGCTTGACAAACTTGGTCAAGCCACAACGGTAGCTGCTGGCTGTTGCTCTTGGGGTTTTGTTTCAGGGGCATTGTTTTGGTGGCAGCGGTTACTTCGGCGTCGGCGCACCTCAGTTCTTCTATGCTGACATGACAGCGTTGACTCTTGGGAAAATCATCCGTCTCTTGGGATTCACCTTCCCTCTCCCGCCTCCCATAGCACAAACTGGCTTCCCAGAAGGCGCAGCGGTAAGTAACTTGTGATCTATATTTCGCTGTTAGAAAATCCTACTTCTTCCCACGGTTTTCTCTTTTTAATTGACATACGTCGCAATTTGTGTACAGAAGAATTGCTCCCTACGTGGTGAGAGAAAATTCAGTGTTAGAAATTAAACTACTTTTTGCACGATGTGATGGCTCTCTGAAAGTTTCGCGATGTTCGAGAGTGTGCAAGGGGGGTAAATTGTGACATTTTATGTGCACAAGAGAAAGCCAAACCCCTGTTCTCCTGAGCTTCGTTGCTCTCGTAATCGCGTGGTTACGGTTTTATTTGTTATTACGAAATTTAATCTGGGAAAATTAAATTCTGTCTTCATCAACTCCAGCAGCTGTTTCCCGTATGACGATGTTCCAAAGGGATTAACAAACTGGTTCTTTCCACAAAAAAACTAATGGAGTTATTTCTTTCACTTAAGGGCTCATACGCAGATGCTGCTTTTGATTTACGTATCGCTGGTGGTCCGTATATTCTAAAGGGCTTTATGATCAAAGGGAGACTCAATATTTTGGGTTGGTCAATTTTTGCCCACGTCAAGTTATCAGACGAAGTAAGTTTTCTTTTTTGCTTGCTACTCGCGTTTCCGAAAATAAGTTGGATGGATTGGAAAAACTTGAAAGTTTTGTTTTTCATATAATTTGTTCTGGTTACAAAAGACCTTTTCGTTTTTAGACCCACTTGAAAAATTGTCCATCAAGGATACTTTGTCCATCTGCTAGGGGTAATTTTCAGTTTCGTCTGTTCACATTTTGAACCCAATAAACTCCAGGGTTTGTTTCCTCTCTTAGCCAATCAAATCGCGAGATTAACACTTGTAGAAATTTTCCAACTTATTTATTTTTACTGTCTCAAGTCTGTTGTATGATAATCTATCGTATCTAAATTTCGATGCGACAAAGCCTTTTACATTGTATGTAAAACTTTAGGCAATTTTTGCTGACATAAAACCAGATCCAGTAAAGATTTTGGACCTTGCAACAATCGTTCGCAGTCCCTCGGAGCAGGATATAGGACCTTGGTTTTATGTGGATGCCAGGAAAAGTCCACCCTTTATTGAGGTAAATATTCGTTTTATCTCCATGTAATGATTGTTCAAATTAGTTATGAAAATAACTCTATATATGTTTACTCATGATTGTTATTTTCAAAAGGTTCACTAGAATCTCTACCCTGCTACGGCTCACTTTACCGTAATTCCCCTTTCGATTTCGTTCCTCCTACTTTTTGAGTCATCAGACCCGAAGAGGATTCACAATGGTAATTAATATAAAACAAATCATAAAGCTTTCCTGGTAATAATCTTCGGTTAACAAGCGATGAAAATACTTCAAAATGCTGATACAAATATTGATTTTCAGAGCCTTACACCGTGTAAAAGGCTTAGTTTAAAGGCTTAGTTTAAATTTTCTGCCATTTTCTTCCCATCAGACATATATCGAAGGATATATAAACCTATTGGGAATTTCAACGTACTGTCGGCTGAACTTAACCATGACCCAGTTTGAGCTGCTGATTCAGGGAAATTTCTTGAATCTCATCAAAGCTGAATTGTTCATATCTGCAAGTTACAGTTTGACCTTTATAGGTGCCCAGTTCTACGTTAGAGTCACTGTTGACTTGGACGGGATCAATAATGTAAGTGGAAAAATTCCTTATCGATCGACCAGAATAACTGAAGGTTATTTGCTTCTTTTTTTTTATTAACAATGCAACAGCAAGTTTAAATACGACTCTGCTCCGCGGTAGAGTCCAGAATTAGCGATAAATGGCCCAAATTTGACGAATTAGGGATCAAAAAAATTGATTTCCTGATTTCAAGAAGTGTTAATTTAGACTTAAGGCTGTTAAACATTTAAAGGATTGCGTCAAAATTGCCCTTTTACACAGGAAAGCGCAATCTTGGAATAAATCAACCTGAAAAGACACTCATGCTAAAAAATAATTACCACCGTTGCTTTCTTCTTATGAAGGACCTTACGCAATCAGGACGGCAACGCCAAGGAAGACTTCGATTAAAAAATGAATTTCTACTCGTAGTTGGAATTTCAAAAATGGTTGTAGGAGCTTACTGTCTTATACGACGCCACAGCTCAACTTCAGCATGACGTATAAAAGATAAAAGTAGCGTTGAGTTCCAAATGGAAAATAAAATAATTTGCCGTCGCGGTTTTGGTTCGCAGACGACGCAAATTTTAGCGATTTCACGTTGTTGTTTTGCATAGGACGGATAAGAAATGTACAAAGTTTTAAAACGCACATGCAAAGCTATCGTTCTGCCAATTAGATCTCTTGTTTTTCCACGTCCTCGTTGCCGTCGCCGTCGGGGTTTGCGTAAGGTCCCTATGTTTTCTTTTTTAATCCAAGTTAAGGTGAATCTTTGCAGTTCAGGTACATATCTCTGCACGTCTTGGAAGTTATCCATCTGACCAGCCTGTATTTCTCACGAATTTTAGATAGATTCTACTCCGAATGAAGCTACAAAAATCTTTTCAAACAAAAGATATTTCGAAGAAACTAGAAAAATTAGCTACAATTGAATACTTTCTCCCAACTACTCATTCCCAGGCTTTAGATGCCGCGGCCGAAGCAGTGAAAAGTGCATTTGATGAGGCACAGAGGAAACTTCGCGCTGCGAGAGATGACGTCATTCGGGAAAAAGAAAACTGTAAACGAAAGCTGACTCTTGAGTGTGATAACTGCAAAAAACTCAAGTGTGCCCAAGCGGAACGCGATTGCAAAGGATTCTTGGATAAGGCTGGAAAATGGCTCGGTGGCGTTATAGATAAAGCTGGTGAGGCATGCCAGATAGGCTGTAGTGAAAGATTTAGACTATGCAACAATGAAATCAGAGCGCCCAACAGGCGTTAACGCAACCCTGTTCAAAGTACCCCTTTTCTTCGTTGGGACCATGGGAAAGAGGTTAGCGTAAACGTAAAGGGATTGTGGAACTGAAGCAAACGGCGAGTTTAAAGAGGAATCAACTGTCGCAGCACTCTTGCCTCTTTGCCATAAACTCTCCTCGCTTTTCTCTTTTCTTTAATATTTAATCTCTTACCTTTTATCGGACTTGCAAGTCACAGAAGATCTTTGGTATAACTTCTAAAACAACTTGGGGCGTCGAAACTCCGAAAATATAAGCTTGATGGCCTCCGTGTACTCTTTTGCTATCCATTGTCAAGGATTTCCACAATGTATTATAAACTTCTAGCCTCTATTACTTTGGTTTGAATACTATGGCATTTATTCGTGTTTCAGTGTAGAGGAATTTTAAAACAACAAAACAAAACCGTTACCTGTTGAGTAATGGATCATAAACGTTCCTAGCAAGGACGATTTTGGGTTTATCACGTCTTAAAATCATTCAAACATTTGAAAATCAATAAGGTGAAAGAGATTAAGAACTGTTCAGGAACGTTTGATGCGGTTATTGGAGTTGGAAATTTTGAATCATTTCTTGTTTAACTCGTTTAGGAAGATGGTTCGCAGGGACTTTTAAGAAGATTGGAAAATTTTTTGCACCGGTAAGCAAAATGAATGTGGTATTGCACTTACTTTTAAAATAAACAATTTCAGAGCAAGCAGCTTCTTTGTCAAAGAGAAACATGTAATAATCATACACCATGCTTCACATCAAACAAAGAAAAAGAAGACGCCGGACAGTTTTTATGTTATTTGGCTTAATCAGAGGAACACGTTGACAAAATTACAGCCTGTTATGTGTCTCTGCAATCGGAATTGTTCGCTTTTTTCAGGAATTCCCACAATAGAAATGACTGATTCTCTTCGAAAATTATTGAATTATAACAGCATGGCATACACCGCCTCTGAGTCCTTGTTAGTCTTAGAAAAACATCTGCGCTTCATAGGTTGGAAAAGCTTTCAAGAAGTTTTTCAAAGGCTGGAAAAAGAGACGAGAAATACGAGACATGCGCAATGAGAACTTTGCCCTTCACATTCGGAAGCGCCGATTCATCAGCAAAATTATATGCGAAGGTATTGTGGGCGGTGGATGTTCTGGTAAGTAGATATACCGTAAGTTATTTATTTTGCTCCCATCATTTAAACGAAAACAACTGGTAATGATATTTGGGATGTGGACCCACTAAGTCTCCCCGCCCTTTATTCACCTTTAACGTATCTTTGTGGCCTTAAAAAACTTAATGAAGTAAAGTTGAACTAAAAACTCTTTCATAATGAACTGGCGAAAATATATCGGAAAGCAGTAAATCGACTCAATCAACGCGAAAGAGTCAGACTGGCGAGCATAGGCTTCTCTCTCCCCTGCATGTCGCACGCGCTGTTGCTGAGCGTGTGTTTTGCTGATACTGAGTGAGATATGGTGAATAAGGGCACAAGGAAAGTGGAACGTGGAACGTGGGAACGACTGGCGCGTGACGAGAAGCGCGGGCACGCAAGTGAAGGAACGAACAAAGCAGGGACGAGGAACGCGGAATACCCGTTTTCATACTATCGCCTTTTAGTAACCCACAATCAAATAGGCTACAACCAGATGCTTCACGAGACAAGGACTTACGCATTAAACACTCATCAGATATATTTTCCAATTTTATCAGCCGTGTCTCACCTTTGCTATGGATCATGCAACTTCATCAACCATATCGGCCAAGGTCTGTGTAACGTGCTCGACGTAGCGGTTGAATTTCTGAAGTTAACCGAGAGGGCTACCAATTGGGTGAGTCAAGCCATTAACTATGTCCTCACACAGCTCTTCAGAGTTTACAGGTACGTGCATGGAATAGTCCAATTGCTTAGGGACTGGTCAGTATTATCGCCCAGCGGGTGGATGGGGTGGTTTGGAGGATTTTGGTTGTTTCACGGGAATATTTACTTGATCTCCTTTATGATTCTTCATTGCCAGTTAATTGGCTGTCCTCCTTTGTGCTTTGTTGACAACGACGGACCCGACCGACTCCCCCTGAATATCCTGCGATGCCCCCCAAATCCCGACTCCCTACCCCTCCCCACCCCAGTCGATAGATAATGACTGGTCTCTTAATCAGATAAGTGAAACAATGTTCATACTTAATGTTTGACACAATGACGTGTCCCTTTTACAAATGTTACCCACAAGGATTTTGCTGTACATCTCTCTCTCTCCCTGATTCTTTCTTTCTCTATTTCTTTCTTTCTTCATGATGTTATTTTCAAATTTGAACAATCATAGAAGTT